AGAGAGAGAGAGAGAGAGAGAGAGAGAGAGAGAGAGAGAGAGCGAGAATGGCTGCGTACCGGCGTGATGGGTGGCCGTAGTTACCTTTACAAGTATAATATACCGCCGTCACTGCTTGCCGCTTGAAGCCGTAACTCCGTAGAAGCGGGGGAGCGCGCGGGGAAAAGGTGTAGTACGTACATACATACGGCGCACCGACCAGTTCCAGTTGCGATTTATTCATACTCTGACACGCAGGTGCTGTACAACCAATTCATTTTCCATGGAGATAACATCCAAGACGCTACAGGAGATTCCCTGGGCATCCTCGGCTCTGCGACCGTCAGGCGGCGGCACCGGGAGGCGCGCGCCCGATGCAGGGATAACCGTGCGCTCCCTGATAACGATCAGAGAACCATCCTCCGCTCCATTAGAGGTCTGCTCATAGCCTGACAAGAATTTGAAAGGAATTAATCTCTCGTAAAAAATGCTGGCCGAGAGCTGAACGGAATGCCTATATATGTGTGCGCCGATGTTACATGAGGGCATGCTATGTAGACTTCTGAGGCGTGGCGCCGGGTGCGTTGGGGCGTAGGAGGGGGGTGGCCTTAGGGGGTCGGGGTGGGGTAGGAGTGTACGAAAATGCAGTTCACGCAAGCTAACGTAGAACAATGAGAATACTGGATTTTCACACCGACTATCACGTCAAAATGCTTCGATTTCCTCCTGTGTATTTTGATATATTCTGCATTTTGAGATACGCATTATCGATATTATAAAAAAAACATTCATCACTACTAGGAATACGGTAGTAACAACACAGCACTGTAGTTTTAGTGTTATATAGATGTGTGGCGTTAGTATGAATTCAGACTATCGTATAATATACAGTATGCCCATGATTGAGAGTATGCGCGGCTGGCTGTGCAGTCTGTGACACAGGTCTCTCTTGAATTGATATCGCTCAGGGCTGCGTCGTTGCGTTCCTGATATGTTCTGAATGCATCCGACAGTAGACTTCAATGTTATAGAGTTATGGTATAATAAAAGCAATATTGCCACGGGCGGAAATTATCAAACAATGCCGCGCACTTCCGCAGACAATTGAACATTGTTTTGCAAATGTCTTTCACTGTTTTGGCGGCAGTTTTGTTCGAATTGGCAAAGTGCGATTTTAGTAAAATAGTGTGAGGGAAGTACGAGCGCCTGTGTTTTCACTCGCCCATTTTTAAACGGATTTAGTCCATGACCGTTGAGAGAAATTAATAGCTTGAATGTCGTTCATGCGAGCACACTAGGCGTAACAATTTCTTGTGACACGGACAGATTCTGCGGACGCGTCACGTATCGATGCGAGTTTATTTTAAGATTCATTAAATTTCCTCATCCATATTAAGATTTAACAGGTTATTTTGTTCGAACCGTAAAAATGGGTTTAACTATTTAATCCCAACTATTTAATCCCAACTATTTAATTCCCCGCCAACTATAAACAGTAAATGCGACTCGAGAAACGCTAGTCGGGGTTGCGGCGATTGTATAGAAGTCACTTCGATTGACCGTCTCGCGAAGTTTATTGGCGATCTCGAAATGTGTTCTTAGATGGCGAATGGCAATGTTTGTTTGAAATGAAAATTGCAGTGTTTGTACTGCAGTGCCGGAGCCGAAACCCGCACGCTGCAGCCCGCCCGCCCGCCCGCCTATCAAGTGTTTTCATTTTCGATGCCGGTGTGATGTGATTCTGTTTTTGCAGCTGACACGCTCTGGGCAAATTGAGCGAAATTACTTTGAATAAATCGATCGTCAAACTGCCATATATCTGTGTTTCGCTCGCCGGCAAGATTGTTCAACTTGCTCTCCGATGATGAATGAGATATTGCGAATTTGCGCGAGGGAAAAATGTTTCGCGGGAACTGGAGAGAGGAATAGCGGCGCTCTCGCAGGCAGCTGTTATATGCACTCCCACCACCAACCAACCACCAACAACCCGCGCATTTCTGCTGGTAATCCTCTTCAGACACTTCTCAGAGATTCACTAGATATCCGTGAAGCGATAGAAAAGTGTGTGCGTCCGTAAGTTATCTTCTACTATATATATAGGCCTGAACGTACACTGTACTGGATGTGTGTAGCGCCACAGCGTGTGTTTGTATTAAGAACGTTTACGTGGATAAAATGTCCCGATTTTTCTAGTGATCCTATACGAAGATTGATTCTTCTTGAAGTCGTGGATGATTATGCCGTATCTGGATGTTGACTTCATTTTGTTCTCGCGAGTTTGCTTTTTCCCGTAGCTCCACTGTATAACATGGCAGCGTCAGTTAAGCTGGTAGCTTAGTAATTATGGCAACCTTTCTGCATGGGTGTGGCTGTGGGCATGGATAGAGTGCTGGGTACTAATCTAGAGTGCGTGCAGCAGAGCCGCACAGCTTCAGCTCTCTACTACTCACGCCAATCCCTCACGTTGCCTAATGAGAGGCTGTCAGTGGCTAAAGTTTACACGAGGCAGAGAAAGAAATTGCGAGCGCGCATTGTGTAAATGTTTTCACCTAAATGACCAGCCTATTTAAATCATCGGGCGCGTCTGACATGTATTATTACATTGTAAAACGTTAAGACTCGCTCGCGAGAGAGAAACGCGTGAGCGAGTATTATTGAATGGCATAAAAATCGATTGTTGAAATCGATAGCAACAGGTTTAAGGTAGCGTATTTTGAAACAGGATCTTTTGTGCAGGTCTCGGCGAACGGGTTTGATTCCCGTGCATTGATTTCACTGCAGCCACAGAGCTTTATATATATATATCTCATATATAACAGGGCGGCCTGTTTTTGTGTGTGTCTTTCTGACTATCCTTTTCCCCCCGTAAAAGACTCACCCCAACATTATATACTATTCTTAATCAGCATGATCGCAGATGGCCTAAAGCAAGGTCCAAAAAACAAAAAATACACAAATTTAAAAAAGGTATAAATTAAGATTAAATTGGTTTGTATTTTAAGAAATGGTCCGCGACGGTGCCCGCTATATTAGCCCGCTTCACTGTCATATATCAACTGCATTGTTGGACATTTGCATTTTGACCGCTATTTTTCTGCTTATGTCGATTATTTTTGTTTGTTCTATTTAAAACAACATTTTTAGCTTCGAAGGAGAGACAAGCTGTCCGTAAATGACTACTGCTGAAAGGTATAAATGCCTCCACTTGAGCTGCTTATTTGTCTTTCGCAGGCACATCAAGGTACTTCGATATTTTCGGTTTTTGTATTTAGCTCCTACTGGATAAACACAGTGGCTATATGCCGGGCAGCCGGCGTCATAATATCTGACGGCCTTGCCGGGCACGGTCGTACGATTTACACTAAGATGCCGGCAGTTTTTAATTTTTAGACGTTATCTCCTCAAGTAAACAAGCGGTTAGGTGTATAGAGTTAGGTTTAGGCGCTAGAGTTAGGGTTTTTGTTAGGTTTTAGGTTAGGGTTGAGTTAGGGTTAAGGAAACTGCCGGGCATTTAGGAAAACCGAAGAACCGTGCCCGGCTGCGGGCATATTAGCCACAGCAGTACAATAAAATCGCCACGGATCTATCTGTCTGTCTGTCTTCTGAGACCAGTAAGGACGTCACGTGAGGTATATTTCACGTCGGCATGAAATGCGACGGACCATTTTTTAAGCAAAACTAAACAATTTGCACAAAACGCAAATATAAGAATCAATGGCAAAAAAAACAAACAACAGAGATTTCGGTAAAGTCAGCGTTTACACACCCATGGTCGTCGAGGATTTGGTTAGGGTTAGCGGTTAGGTTTTTAACTTGGCGGTTTTCAATAGGATTTTGGGCCAGATTTCCCCAAAAATCTGCACGAAGCAAAAAGTTAACATAACAGGACAACCTAGCGCTCGACTTTTACTACTTATGCAAGAAAGTCAAGACGATCGTAGAACTGACAATTCCCCACGTATAGCGCTTCAACTATGTACAGGTCATCAGCATCGATTGAAATTGCCGAACGGCAGCATAAGCACAAAAACGGGCATGAAAATAGCAGGCAAAAGCAGTAACCCCAATAAACATCGGGCATCGTCCGGTGCTAGCCGCTAGTACTTATATATGCATCGACACTTGCGATTATTTAACTTTGATCCGGCTGAAAGCACGCGCAACGTATCTGTCGGTCCAGCGCACGAAGCCAGGAGCGCCGTTACCCAGCACTTAGCCAGGACCTTTGAGGTTGCAAATTAGATTTTATAGGAAGCATCTGCCGCAAACGTTCGCCAGATTGCATCGAAATGGGATAAACATGTACGAGCGTTCATTAGACTAGGTTTTCAGTGACGATGGATTATGTATGTGTGCGTGCGGAGGCGAGCGAGGAGGGAGCTCGCATGCTTCTCATTCAGGTTAAGTTTTTGGAGGGAGAGAAACGCGAAACCTGCGAGAGAAGCAGAGAGTGGAGGAAGAGAGGGGGCGGGGCGGGTAAGACCGGAATTAGTGCGTGCTTTGGCGCGTCGTTACGAGTTCCGATATCTAGGTACAGTGAGGCTGTGTTTATACGCGCGCTCCGCTACTCGTGAGGCTTCCAACGCACACAGCATTGGACCCCGCTATCGTCTGAGGCATCGCGCTCGCCGCAACTATCTCTCGTCATACTATGCGTGCTCCAGCTTACTGCGGGAGGAGCGGGGAAGGTTCGGTCGCATTTATGGGCGTGCCGAGAGAAGGGTGCGGCAGGAACTAGTAGCCCCTGATTTGGCATGCGCGAGGAAAGGGCAAGAGCGGGAAAAATTCTGAGCCTTCCACTGTCGCAAATTCGAATCTAATCCGGGGGAAAGGAATTCACACTTACCTACTACGGGGCGGCGATGGTCTTTCGAATTAACTTTGATTACCCTGTTTTCTCTCCTCCCCCTCCCGATCTGGTCTGCGTCCGCGGCGCGCCATTCTGTCAACGAGATCAACCCGTGGGAC